TCCAATTAAAAAATTGGTAAAGGAGAAGGCAGAACGGGACAAGGAAGCTGGTGATAGGGAACCCAAGGTTGAGTAAGGATAGTGTTGATGTGTTGTGGGGTTGTTAACCATTGTCATAGGGCAACATGTGTATAACTGTTAAATGAGAAACTATTTTGTTCTGTAAGCCTTCATCTTAAGTGAGAACAGCAGCACAACTGGAAGAGCGTAGTCAATGTCACTGAACTGTTAATGTAGAAATTTTTGAAATGGTGTATCTTTGGCTATGTGTATTTTCACCAAAAAAAAAAAAAAAGGGGGGGGAAGTTAGAGGGTTGACATGTTGTGGGGTTGTTAACCAATGTCATAGGACAATATGTGTACTACTGTTTCATGAGAAACCATTTGTTCTGTAAGCCTTCACCTGAAGTACAATAAAAATTAAGTAATTAAAAAAAAAATTGGCAAAGGATATGAACAGACACTTCACCAAAGAAGACATTCAGGCGGCTAACAGACACATGAGGAAATGCTCGTGATCATTAGCCATTAGAGAAATGCAAACCTAAACTAAAATGAGATACCATCTCACCTTGACTTTATTGGCACAAATTTTAAAAAAAAGAAAGAAAATAACAAATATTGGCGAGGTTGTGGGGGGATTGGAACTCTTATGCACTACTGGTGGGAATGTAAAATGGTACAATCACTATGGAAAATGATATGGCACCTCCTTAAAAACCTAGAAATAGAATATCATATGATCTAGCAATCTCACTCCTAGGAATATATCCTAGAGAAATAAGAGTGGTCACATGCATAGACATATGCACATCCATGTTCACTGCAGCATTATTCACAATAGTAAAAAGATGGAAACAACCTAAGAGCCCATTAACAGATGAATGCATAAACAAATTATGGTATATACACATGATGGAATACTACACGATGATAAACAACGAAGAATCCGTGAAACATCTCACAACATGGATGAATCTGGAAGGTATTACACTGAGTGAAATAAGTCAATCACAAAAGGGCAAATACTGTATGAGACCACTATTACAAAAACCCAAGAAAAGGCTTACATACAGAAACAACAATCTTTGATGGTTACAAGGGAGGGGAATGGTGGGGAGGAGAAATCACTAACCAGATAACAGACAAGTGTTAACACTTGTGAAAGGAAAGACAACACACGGTAGAGGGGAAGTCAGCACAACTTGACCAAGGCAAAACCATAGAAGCTTCCTAGACACATCCAAACACTGTGAGGGACCGAGTTACAGGGGCTGAGGACTGGGGACCATGTTCTTGGGGGACCATCTAGCTCAAATGACATAACATAGTTTATAAAGAAAATGTTCTACATCCTACTTTGGTGAGCAGCGTCTGGGGTCTTAAAAGCTTGTGAGCTGCTATCTAAGCTACATCTACTGGTCGCACCCTACCTGGAGCAAGCGAGAATGAAGAAAACCATAGACACACAGGGAAAGATTAGTCCAAAGGACTAATGAACCACAACTACCACAGCCTCCACCAGACTGAGTCCAGCACAACCACTGACTGCTCTGACAGGGATCACAACAGAGAGTCCCAGACAGAGTGGGAGAAAAATGTAGAACAAAATTCAAATTCACAGAAAAAGACCAGACTTACTGGTCTGACAGAGACTGAAGGAACCCAAAGACTATGGCCCTGGACACCCTGCTAAGAAATGAAACCACTCCCGAAGTCCACCTTTCAGCCAAAGATTAGATAGGCCTACAAAACAAACAGTAACACACATGAGGAACGTGCTTCTTATTTCAATCGAGTATATGAGACCAAATGGGCAAGAGCTGTCCAAAAACAAAGGCGAGAAGGCAGGAAGGGACAGTAGACCTGGACGAATGGACACAGGGAATCCAGGGTGTAAAGAGAAAGGGGGAGAGTGCTGACATATTGCAGGCCAGTGTCAGAAAACAATTAATGTATACATTTTTGAATAAGGAAAAAAAATTTTTTTTTAACTGAGTTACCAAGATAAACAATGTCAGAAAGAGTCATAATTTAACGCAATATCTAAAATTCCTCCTCCATTAAGTGCTTTTCCTTCTTGTTTTAATACTGACTTCTGGTCGCTCACCCACAGCTGGAAGACTTCCACACTTTACCTAGATGTCTGATCACCTACCTTCAGGATTTATTTATGGTTGCCTTCTTAATCATCAAAATTATAAATGCTCAAAAAATTCTGAAAAGAACAATAGATGATTCAGATATACTGACTAACAATTATACCCAATGACAAGGAAATGAAAGAAGTAATTAGAGACAAAAGGCTTTTTTTAAAAGCAATTATATCATAGAGGTTGACATTTGGGAAGGATGGGGCAAGAAAGATCATTCAATACTAGTTAAGCTGTAATGCTGCTTTATAATTTTTTTAGAAGAATAATAAATTAGGAATGTATTATCTTCCGTTTTTCCTCTTTATCATTTCTGTTTATGGACAACTAAAATCTTAAGAGATCAGGCAGTCTACCTTTTACCACTGTCCAATTTTTTACTTCATTTAATCTATGTAGGAAGGGGGAGATGGAAAACAGTTCTGCCTGCTTATGCTTAATAACTCAGAAATTCACATCTACAAAAATATCAAGTTTGACTTTACATCATAAGCACCAATACCATTCAGACTGCATTTTGCCTTCTTTGTCTCGAGGTCTGCCTTTATGTTTCTAATATGATAAGAAAAGGTCAGCCAAAGGTTCAGATATAAAATCTCCTTTAAATTTCATCTGAAGTTAAATTCTTGACAATAGATTCAAATAGATACATGCTATAACGGCAATTTTTGAAAAGAGCAATCACCTTTTTAACAAAACTCTAAGGTGAAATAAAATTCATTTTAAAGTTAAAAAAAAACTATTTTAAATAATTTGATAGATTCCAAGAAGGCATGTGAAGTGAGTATTAATTAGATATTTAACTAGCATTAGATTTTAAGCCGTTGCAACTGTATCCTTACATTCCAGCAGAATAAAAACAAGTCCCTATAAATGTTTGTTAATAAATTAAGTGCTTATTTTCATTACAACAATAGCTTTAATTAGACGTATAATTCAGTAAATTGTGCTTTTGTGTGCTCTGTGTATTCATTATACTGAGACTCCTGCTTAAGTAATTTACACTGGGTTGGGGCATTCTTCACATTATGCTTGTATTATAGTTATCTCGGCAGGTCCCTAGGTAGCACAAATGGTTTGCACTCATCTACTAACCTAAAGGTTGGTAGTTCAAACCCACCCAGCAGTACCACGGAAGAAAGCCAAAGGCCTGGTGATCTGTTTCTGTGAAGATTACAACCAAGAGAACCCTATGGAGCAGTTCTACCCTGCAACACATGGGGTTGTTGTGAATCAGAATCAACTTGACAGCAACAGGTTTGGTTTGGTTTATGTATATATTTTATCTTTTACTGATTATTGTTCAACTGTAAAACTGCTCTGTACTTTACACAGTTTAATGTTGTATAGAGTAAACTAAACCCAGCTAATATTTACAGTCAAGAAAATAAGAAGCTCCGATTCAGAAAAATATTCACGTTACAAAAGAGTTGAAAAATACAATGTTGCTAAAGAATTAAAACTTATTTTCTGTAATCCAGACTGGTGAATATTTAACAACTTAAGTCCTTCCATCTTCTTTGAAAGAAATAATTTTAATGAATTATTATAAATCATCAATGACTCATTCAAGATTGAGTAAAATTTTAATCAGTTAAAAAAATTCTTACTATTGGATTATATAGTTTTCAATATACGCTACTGAATTTTGGGGGTTTGTAGTCAAAATGGGTCTTAGAGGTCAATTTAAAAGTTATCAGGCATTCCTTTAGTAATGTCACAGAATAGGACTTTGCTCCACTCCCAATGCCTCCCCCCTCCCTTTTAAAATCTGTCTCCTAGAAAGCACTCAGATGTTTTTCCTCATTTACTGATCTATTTCTCTTTAAATGCTGTTAATATTTAAGCCAGTTTCTTTTACACATACAACCTTAAAAGTCTCACCCATTGAGCCCTTAATCCTAAGACATAGTTCCCTAGCAATAGCTAACACTGTGGGATTTATAAAAGACTTTCCTCACGGTCAGAGAGATGCTCCCTTGGCATTTGTGTTACCCATTTCTAGAATATTCTATTTGGTTCCTTTAATCCTTCATGCTTTTCTGTTTCAGTAAAACAACAGAAGTTCATGCTCTCTTGATTCCTGTTGATTATGTATTCCATAAAAAGCTAATGAGAACTCACTCCTTAATGGTCTAACCCTCCATTATTGTCCTCCCTGGACCCTAGATTGTGAGATTTTGCCTGCCAGGGAGACTCCTGCAAATGTAGCTCTTTGTGCCTTTTCCATTTCAAACTCTAACCTATGAGAAAGCACTTTACAAGCCATAGAAAATATACCTATTTGGTTGTTTAGAATGAAAAAAAAAAGCTCTTCTTTCTTCTCCCCAGGAAAAATTAGGAGGCTGAACGTTGATATTCACATTCTAAATGATCTGACAACGTTTAAAAATATATTTGCAGCATAGGGTTAACATAGGAATAAAAAGATAAGAGCTTATCTTATCAGTCTCTGATTTCATTATAGAATAAGCCAAAAAAAAAAAAAAAAAGATTGGGCTCTTGAATTTTTTTCTAAGAAAACAGGTAAAGTACATTCTTCTCTTTTGCCTTTTCTAATTTGCTTTTGTGTTCTTGACCCAAGAAATTGTATCTGATTACATAGCAGAGAGAATAATAAACCTAAATTGATGACTGACATTTTAACAGACTGAACAGTAATATTTCACCACTGAAATCCTGGACAGGTTTCTAAGGGCTCTTTTTATAAGTGGGCTTCGTAAGTAGCCAACACACTGAGGGTTTAATTATGAAATCAGAACGCTGATTCACAACCCTCTTTTCATAGCCCAACGCCTCTTCATTTTCAGACTCAATGTCTTAGAGAATGCAATACCAAGTACTTACTTTGTTTATTTCCCAGTCTTCCTCCAACTTTTCCACGGCAGCCAAGTTCTGAGTGGACTCCTGGGTATCAGAAGTGACCTGTTTCTCTCTGCCTGGCAGAGTAAGTTTTTCTTTCTTTTCTGTAGAGTATCTTGACTTGAGGATGCTACTGAGACAATTCTCTGTCTCCTGCTTAGCAGATTCAAGTCTGTTTTTCAGATCTTTTTGTTTACACTTAAGTGATGTTATATCGTCCTTAATAATCTTCTGTCCCACTGAAGATGTATTTTGCTTGATGGATTCTGCTAAAGCTAAAATATTCTCTAATGTACCATCTTGTAAACTGAGTTTATTCTCTAGTTCCTGTGAGTGGAGAAAAGATTGTCACAAAAAGTATCTCCATTCGATTGTTACAAGAGTTAACTGAATTTTGTAAATCACAGCCATGTTCTGTTTCACTAGTGGAAAACATAAAACACACCAAACTCGTATCACAAAGATGAAACTGTGGTTAAAATTTAAACCAATGTAGTATCCCAAATTCTCAAACTGATTTTATTAGAGACCAGACTTTACAAATCACGCAAACGATTTTCATAGCACAGTTCCTGGAACATAGGAGACAGTCAATAGCTAATCACTGAATATATTTTGTTCAAGATACAGCCTTTATACACAGTCATAACACTAAGTCATACATGCCTACTATGTGCAAAGCATTGAAAAAAATAAGAGTCATTTAGACAGTGTCTACATAAATCTATTGTTAGTATCTAAAATTCAGAGCAAAGCTTTGGGGTGATGAGATATCAATCTAAGGACTTAACCAATGTTTAGTAAATGCACGAACGGATGAAGCTAATTTGAGAACTCTGGGCTCAAAATGAATTTGAGGTATTATAGTAACTACTGATGTTACTGTTTAAATAGCATAAGCCTTGAAGTTACTAGGTGAACTATGTACAATTTATTAGTCACTGTCCTAACTGGAGAGTCCTGGGTGGTGCAAACAGTTAACGAGCTAGGCTGTTAACTGAAAGGACAGAAGTTCATGTCTACCCTGAGGAGCCTTGGAAGAAAGGCCTGGCAATCTACTGCCAAAAATCAGTCATTGAAAATCCTATGGAGGACAATTCTATTCTGACATGCACAAAATTGCTATGAATCAGTCAACTCAATGGCAACTGGTACCCTAATTGGACCATACAATAAATGAATGTGCATTCATTCATTCATTTATTCAACCAACTGCCAGTACTATGCTAGATCTTGAAGCTAGAGATGAGTAAAATAAAGTGTTTTCAAGTATCTATGGTCTAGTGGGCTAGAAACAAAAGTAAATAGACAATTATAACAGAGAAGATCTATGCTATGAAATATGCACAGATTACACCCTGGGGGCAAGGGACAAAACCCAGTCTAGACATGGGGAAACCCTGTCAGGAAGGCTTTCTGGAGGAGGTGATACATAAGCTGAGTCTTGAAGGATAAACAGAAGTTAGCCAGGTGATGAAAGGGCAGGAGGAGAAAGCATTACAGACAGAAGGAAAATTATGGCAAAAGGTAAAAATGCAGGGGTGCATACAGGGCATTCAGGAAACTACAAGTTGGATTCAGTCAAGTTGTACTTAATACTGATATTTTAAAAATATCTATCATGTCTAGAAATTGTTTAATACCTGCAGTTTGTGTAATTTTTCCTCAAGTGCTATTTGATCCACAGGCTTATCAGAAAAACTGTAAAGTTCCTTGGAGAAACTGTCCAATGTGGTATTCAGGTCTGTGACACGAACCTGGTACGAGTGGTGTTCTTGAACATGACCTTCCAATTTTTGCACGGAATCCTAAAAATAAAACCATTGACAATTTACAAATTATTTCTCTCTGAACTCTTTCACTCAGGAAATAATTATATTTTTCATAAATACTTGTTTTATGAGGGTTCATTCTGAAACAAGAATATGGCCATAAATGGTCTAGAATTCTTAAGTAAAGATTTAAAGTTTGAGATATTTCATTGTAAAAGAATGACCCTTATTGAAACCACATTTGTTGCCCCAGTGCTTCTCTGCCTTCATTTCTGAAAACAATTTTATCTGTCAAGAAGTTTCCAAAACTAAATGGCTACAAATTATATAAGTAAATCACAGACTTTCATAATAAAGCAGCTCCCTTAATTATCCAAGTACCCACACTTGGAAATGAGACTGTAAGATCAACCTAACCCTAGATCCCTTTCCTAAGACTCAAACTCCAAAGCTGTGTCAGGAAAAAGTAATCCTAACTCAAGAGCAAAGGCTTCTCCAGTATTTCTCCCTGGGATGAAAAATAATAAGGTGGCCATATCTGATCAGAAAAGTATTAACTATTTGTTATGAATTGAATTGCGTCCCCCAAAAATATGTATTGAAATCCTGGCCCCTATATCTGTAAATACGATCCTGTTTGGAAATAGGGATTTCTTTGTTATGTTAATTAGGTCATACAGGAATAGGGTGGGTTCTAAATCTAATCACTCCTGAGTTATAAAAAGAGCAGAATGCACAAAAAGAAACACACAAGGAGAAGAGAGAGATAGATGACACAGACAGATGAATCTGCAAGGACTGTTGGCAGCTACTAGAAGCTGAAATAGACAAGGAACGACCTGCCCTAAGAGATGCTATCTCTTTTATAAAGATGCCTAAAAAATCTTAACCCCTCCTATTGCTGAAAAAGAAACTTCGATGAGGGGAAACAGCACCATCATCAAATAATACACAGTTTGGCCTTCTACCAGAACTGACTGGATTAATTCCTCCATTCTTGAGGAGTTAGGGTCTAAATCTAAAAATTATCAATTAAATTAAAAAACCTTTTGGTCTAAAAAAAGAACAAAAAATAATTCCATATGTAAATCTTCTTTTATTAATTCATACACATAATTATGACAATCATTAAAATTTTTATTTTATCTGCTTTACCTGTAGTTGTTGAAGAAGACTTTCATGTAGATGCTTTACTTCCAGCCACGGATCTTCACTAAAGTTGGGATTTTTAGTGCACTCCAAGAGGTAATTTCCTTGAGATTTTAATTCCTTTAGCAAGGATGTCAAATCTTGTGCTTTCTGGAGGAATTTTTTATAAATTTTTAACTGAGCTTTCTTCTCCTGCAAACCATTTTGCAGAGCAAAGCCTGCTTCTTGTTTCTTCTTTAGTTCTGTAAGCATTAGCCTCAGATCCTCCTTACTTTGCAAATACTTCTCTCCTTCCAGCAGAAGCTTTTCTTGATGGCTAAATTTAACAAAATACTTTATAGATGAAATGAAATTTAACAAAATGGAATGCCATTTTGCATATTATAATGTAATATGCATTATAATAAAAACCATTAAAATAACACTAATGTATATTATTCCCAGAAACTCTTTTGGCACTATAATATTATAAATAGCACTGACTTTAAATTAGAAATTAAGACAGAAATTATCTGTAGTAGTACTAAAAAACAATTGTTTTATTACAGAAACTTTGACCTGAGAATAAATAATTTAAATTTCAAACTAGTCCCAACAGTTCCTGTTATATATAAATCTATTATCCTATATTTTACTTGTTCATATAAGTAAAATAAACTAACACTCAGTGTGCTGACCAACTAACTAGTTTATGTTTTCTACAGCTTAAATTTAGATTTTCATACCTCCTTGGAAAAATGTAAAAGTCAGATTTCTACCAGACATTAAATGTACCATTTAAGACATGTGAAATGAATTAAGAATTTTCACCAGAATCATATAAATTAAATCACCCAACATTTATCAACGTTCAGTCATTTAAGACTCTGTTAAAATATATATTGGAAGGCATTATTCTACAGAGGTCTCATGCAGATGTACTGAGGTTGTTTGGGGGAAGGGAGTTTTGGTGCAGAAGCAGGGAATTGAAGGTGGAATGATAAACCGATGTTAATTTGTTACTAAGAACTGTATGGTGATGCACATACCACGCTAAACACCGCCACAGAGTCATGACAGAGTCACTCGTATCTCGTGTGGAGAAATATTCCTCGTTTCTGCCTCTGACATTGCAGATGGCCCTGACATTGCTGACTTTCTCTCCAATAGATATTATATCCAATTCCAGGAGGCAGACAAAACATACTTGTTATGGCTTCACTGCACTATGAAAAACAATGAAGCCGGTGAAGGCATGCCCTTTACCTTAGATACGTGTTGGCTAAATGGAGTGTGTTGTCCCACTGATTCCGGATATCAGTAAGGGTCTTCTGAACCATGGGAGCCTTGCTGCTTTCAGCCTGCTTCGTGATGGTCTGTATTTTAGCGTCCCCTTCAGGCTTCAGTAAAATGATTTCCTGAATTAAATTTTAAAAATCTTATACTCTCACTCATAGTACTCAGGGATATTACATTTGTTTTTATTTGTAAACATTATATTGAGATTCTACCTGCAGAGTATATTTCAAAACTATCCTTTCATTTTCACATATATCCAGAAAACAGATTCTCTCCCTTCATGTTATACAAAGCTGGTTCTCACTAAACATTTTTCAGTTTAATCTGATTGCATTCATGCTCTCCCCTTCATCTTCAACTGCCTACAAGTAAACTGTATTCCAGTAAAAAACTGGAAAATCCTCCTTCCTACTTACTCCATTTTTTATAGATGGAGAGCTACGTTAACAACATCAACAAGGCATTTTTTCCCGCCAAGATTAGACTATGGCTTCCCACAATAAAATGCAGCATCCCTCCTGTCAACTCTCATCTTTCTACCGTAACATCATTAATTCCCTTTCTCTGTTCTTCTCTTTCCCGCCTTTGCTCTGACAATCAAGTTCTTCTCTTCCTGGAAACACTACTCAAGATTCACCTTCTCTGGGAAACATTTTAGACAAAATCTCAAATTATTTCCATTACTTTAGTAAGTCTCACCAACCCCTATAGCTCTCACTCTTCTTCACCCTTTCTTTCTCTAAATGCTTAATGTGTTTTTGATTCTCCTGGTGTTCCTTTTAAGCACATGTACTTTTGTCACATGCATTTTTAACTAGCAATGTCTATTTAATTTCCCCTTAGACTGCAAATGACCTCAGGGGATCTTAAGTCTTCTATGCTCGCAATATCCAGCAATCATCAGCAATCCACTCAGTATCTAACAAGCTTTATGAACCATACATATCCACTCTGGAAAAGATGTCCTCTCCATCTCTGCCCTTAACATTGTTGATGCCCCTGCTATACTGACATATATTCTTTTTATATTCTAGCAAATCCCACCGGCTGCAGTTCCAATTTATCATCTTTATTTCAATTCTTCTGTACTCACTGAAGATGAACAATTGAGCATTGCCCCCTCAAAGGGAGAGGATATACTTTCCTGCGTTCATAAGCATTAAAATAACTTTAGACCCATCACAATCCTCCTCTTTCATAAGGTGAGTGATCTGAATTTCTTCAGCTTTTCCACAGTGAGCCTATTTTTCATTAAGAAACAAATCTTTGCAGTTTTGTCTAAATCTTTTCAAAATTAGAGTTCACTATGACCTCTGAAAGTTAGTTACCACGCTCACCTCTGAAATTTAGTTACCTTTATTTTTTGGATTCGTTCTTCAAGTGGCATTTTGCCTTCCGATGAATTCAAAACCATAAGAGACTCTTTAATCTCTGTTATCCAATGAATTACATCACGAGCAAGATCATTAAAGTTCTGGTCCTCAGTAGGAGGTAACTTATCTTCTTCAATTTCACATATTTTTCTCAATAATGTCTGGTATCTATCAATCAAATGTGTTGACTCAGCTATTATTTCTTCTTCTTTAGTAAGCCCATATTCCTTCAAAGAGTTGTTCAACTGGGCCAGAGATTCAAATTGTTCCCTGTAAATTCCAAATATCATTGAAAGTTTATAGGAGTCACTTATACCATGGGGGAAAAAACCATACTCTCAGGAAATATACTTCATATAAGGTCAGCTATACCTCTTTCTATCTAATGCTTGGCAAAAAAATTCAGTTTTCTCTCCTGTTTCTTCCATTTCTTTCCATTTCTTTTCTTGATTAGTCAGCCAATTACTTAGGCTTCTGTGGTTATCCTGTAGTCTGAAAAAACATTATATATGTTAGAATATAAAATAAGCAAAAAATGTATAACACCGTGGAATTTCTTTATGATGCTGGCACTGAAGAGAAGGCTGACATGAACCTCATGAGCCCACCAAGTTTTTACCAGATACATTTCAAATTCTTTAGAAAAAATTTAACTTGTAATATATTAAAACGTGAATACTAATAGTCTATTATAGTGAGATTGTACAGTATTAAAGCAATGAGCCACAAAAAAATGTATCATAAAGAACAAAAAACAAACAAAATTTTTGTATATTAGATAATTTGAAGAATTCTCCAAACTTCTATATATTCCTAAAGCCGAACTGGACGGAAGGGTATCTATTTCATTTGTGAAATGTGTGTGTATTGTGTATCCCAGCACTGGCTGTACTGAAGCAGAGTACATATGAAGAAATTGTTAGATAGCATGTTTTTTACACATTGTCTTTATTTCCTACCTCAGTAGCTGCTGTAAGCAGTCATCAAGCTCCTTTGCTCTTGCCTGGCATATGGACTCCATATTTTCTAATTCAAATTCTTGACTCGTAATCCAACTGCTAAGCTCCTTAACACTTGCTTTGGGTAGATGCTTCTTCACCTGATTCAGTATAGTTGCTACCGCCTGTATTTTACTGTCTCTTTCTTCAAGAGTCAGGAAATCCTTATGAAAGACAGAAAGTCAATTATGTTTTACTGGCAAGTATGGTCTCTGCCACTCACATGACTGTTTTCCAAACCAGTATACAGACATGCCACCCTCTTAGTATTCAATATAAATAAAGAGCTATGGAGATGTGGATAAATCCAATGGCAAACGATCAAGAAAGGATTTATATCAGTTCTAGAATGTGGGTCACATCTGCATTTCTGTCTGACTTTCTGGGAATTACATCAAGCAAAATAATGCAGTGTCACAGTGAAGGTCAATAGCAACAAAGCCGGGAAAGCTACATTTTCCAATCCTGACTGTGCTCAACTTCTCTTATATAGTAGCTCCTTTTTGGTGATCAACATGCAAAAATAAACAGACTATATTCCATTAAATTTTCCACAAATCATAATTTTATTTCAATGTCTGCATTTCAAGATTTGGGTGTTAACTGCTGAGGTCCATGCAAAGTTAAAGGTAGGAAAAAAAAAGTATGACTTTAAACTTGAAAGGAGGAGACTCTATCCAAAAAGGCTGGTACCCTCAAAGCAAGAAATTAATCTTAATTTGAGTGTGCTATATAAATTATAAGGACCCCGGTGGCACAGTGATTAAAGCGATCGACTGTTTACCAGAAGATGGGTGGTTTCAATCACCTGCAGCTCTGCAGGAGAAAGATATGGCAGTCTGCTTCCTTAGAGATTTATAGACTTGGAAATCCTGTAGGGTCGCTATGAGTCAGAACTGACTCAACAGCAGTGGGTTTGATTTTTTTTTTTTTGTAATATATATAAATTGTAAGGAGCACTGGTGGCACAATGGTTAAACCTCAGTTGCTAACCAAACGGTTAGAAGTTGGAATATAACAGTCATGCCATCGGAGAAACACCTGGTGATCTGCTTCCATAAAGATTACAGCCTCGGAAACCCTATGGGGCAGTTCTACTCTGTCTCACAGGAACGCTATGAGTCAGAATCAACTCAATGATAAATAACAATAATATAAATTTTAAATGGACCTGTGCACCTTGTCATTTATTTCAGGCTACCTTCCACTGTGATGTCCACCATGGAGGCAGCGGCATGTCTATTTTGTGTACTGCTGTATTCTCAGTGTCTGGAGTGCTTGGCACATAGCGGACTTTTCAGAAATATTTGTTGAATAAATGATTGGCTGAATAAGCTTATTCTCATTGGAATTAGCAGTTAATTTAATTTTATGAAAAGGTATCACGTGCACATGATTTCAAAAAAAACCAATAAATATAAAAAAGACATAATATGAAAAGTTTACTTTCCATTCTTGTCTCCCAGTTCCAACCTCTATATCCCATCAAACCCATTGCCGTCTAGTCGATTCTAACTCCTAGCAACCCGACAGGACAGAGCAGAACTGCCCCACAGGGTTTCCAAGGAGCGGCTGGTGGATTCCAACTGCCGACCTTTTGGTTAGTAGCCTGAGCTCTTAACCATTGTGTATTAGTTTCTTGTGTATCTTTCCAGAGCCTTTTTTAAATGCATATACAAGCAGACATGAATATATCTTCTTTTCCCTCCCACTGTTTGAAGGTACATTTAGTACTGTAATATAAATAGTATTTGTGCCCAGTGGTTTTTACCTAATATAGCACCAAAATCTTTCCAATATTTCATAAAAAAGCTCCCTCATTTCTTTTTAATGGCTCCATACTATTCCTTTGTATGGCTGTACTATAATTTATTTAAGCAAACCTTTATTGATAGATACTTAGGTTGCTTTGAAAGTTTTACTATCACAGACAGCAATAAATAATTCTGATACACACTATTTCACCAAAGTGGAAGTGTAACGATAGCATAAATTCCTGGAAGCAGAAACAGCTGGATCAAAGGAGACATGTATCTATAATTTTGACAGACACTATCAAGTTGCTCTAAGGCAATTTGGAAAGTACAATTTATACTCGGGCCAGCAGTGTATTAAAGTTTGACTGCATTTAAAAAAAAAAAAAAAATGGACTTACAAAAAGTCAAGAGATTTCTTTCAAGAAAAGAACAAATACCTTTATATACATATAGTTTTTAACAAATAGGATTTTAACACAACTGAATTCACCAGTAAACCCAAAATTAAATAGTATCTTAGAAGGGGTGAAAGTACAGCTTATTTAAAGTCCCTTGCACCCTTACCCAGTGAATAGAGTTCCAAAATCTCTTGGGAAAAAAACTAGGTTTTTTCCCAAGAATTTTGAAATGTTATTTTTGGAAATACTATCTCTTCTGTAAGGAAATTTAACAAGTCAAAGTTAATAATTATCTTTCTATTTAAATACAGTTCTATGCCTCCAAAATTTCTTTTGATAAATTTTAAAAATATTTTTATTATAATTTATATATAAATCTTACAGAAAGTTTTTGTAGCTTTCGTTCCACACTCGTTTTGGTTTCTGATGAATCAAAACACTCCTTAAGGTTCATATTAATGTTGCTGAACCAGTCATTGAAGTTCTTGCACTGATCTGCAGGAAAATATATGGAAAATATATTTTAAAAAAGGGGTAGGGGAGAGAGAGAGCTGTATTCATTCAAGAAGGACCTCATATATCTTGTTAAGGTGAGAAATTTTGAAACTTGCTTCCCACACCCTGGGTACAAGTCAATGTATAAGATGCCTCCATATTTTAAAACTCAATTTTGAGGGTTAACAGAGGATAGAAAATAATTATGGTGCATTTTCTACACGAAATCTCCATCCAAAGCTATAGACACCAAGACAGTTGGAGGGGGAGCCTGCTCACTAGCACATCCCCAGACTCAATGACCAAAGTGAGGGGGTCAAACACCAAGAATTTGGTGACTTTCCTCCATGAAATAAAGATGTGAGACCTGAAAGAATTATGTTAGTCACAGATCAGTGAGTTGTTTCCCCCAAAAGATTTGACTGAATATGATTTTCTTAAATATAGTCTATGCAACCAACTCTAAGTCAGGCTTAGAATAGCTTCTGTATTTACCCTATTATAGTCATGTGTCAAGGTTCCCAGAAACACAGTAGAAGAATCACTCACCATTCAATAAATTAGAAAAGTGATCTTGCAAAACACTTTTTTTGGTATTAAATAAATCACTGACACTTTCATATTGCTTCTTTAATTCAGAGAGTTCAGGAGTCAAACAGCCTATTTGATTCTCAAGTAATATCATACTGTGCTTTTGCTGTAGAATTTGCTGTTGTATCTCCTAAATAAAAACACGCAAGCAAACAACAACCATAAATCTTAAAACTGGTAGATTTACACAAAGTATATTGTATCTCAATTGTTTTAGAAAAGAGATCTAGATGATTTTCTGTTGAGTAGATCTGCTTTCTCTTTGCTGGTAAATTTATAAGGCAATGCAATTTAAGATAAAATAATTACTGTCCATAAGCAATTCAAAGGGGAAAATGCTAAATATACACGAATTGCTTTTCTGAGTTTTTCTTTTTCTCCCCAGACTTTCCGTTTTTGCTGCCCTAAACAAGTGACCCATAAAAACCAAACCCACTGCCATCAAGTCGATTCCCACTCATAGTGACCCTATAGGACAGAGCAGAACTGCCCCATAGGGTTTCCAAGGCTGTAAATCTTTACGGAAGCAGACTGCCACATCTGTCTCCCACCAAGTGGCTCATGGATTCGAACTGCCAACCTTTTGGTTAGCAGATGAATGCTTAACCACTGTGCCACCAGGGCTCCTCTAAACAGGTGAAGACCATGACAAATAAGTGTGAAAATAAATCTGAATCACAGAAGAGAAGCATCTGGTACCTCTAGTTTAGTAAAGATTTCCAAGCTGTCAGAAGGAGACAGAGCATTTAAGAGGGATTCAGTCATCCCAATCTGGGTTTTTGCCTGGTCGAGATCCTCTCTCAGCTCATCTGTGTTACCACTGAGTGTGCAGTGGTTGGATTCACCAGTTAAACTCATTTTAACGTGTTCCATTTTGTTCAAAATCAAAGACTCCATGACCTGAAATCATGAAACATAGGAAGTACTATAACAAACTTTGTTTAACTAGATTTCAAGACTAGATTGCTAGGGGTAAATCGAGACTTCATTTCCACATAGAAATAAATACTTTTAATTCTTCATTGTTCTCCATCGTTGGTACAACCATTCAAATGTTGCTTTTAAAGGAAAAAGAGTAACACACAAAAAAAACCGAAATAAACATTCTGAGGTTTTTCAAGGAGACTAATTTGAATTCTTCCTCCTAAAACAAGTTTTATCTAGCATGTCCACTGCAGTGCTATCTCATGGCGCTCGTGTGAAAATATACTAAGACATAAAAAATAAAGACCAGCACTCGCTGACGGTTTAGTATGTGTACAGCATCACAGTAAGAGGTTTAAGAAGGTTAAGTAACTTGCCCAAGATCACAAAGCTAGTATGTGGCAGAAATCAGGACCTCACTAGAAAGTCTAACTACAGAGCTCATATTCAATCACCATACACCTTGATCTAAATAAAACTGTAACAAAATCTTCACAAAAGAGAAAATGAAACTTGGGTCAATCTCTGTTTATCCATCTAGCGACTAAAATAAGGGTCACTTGAGCTATGTTCTTTCCTACACCCAGGAGACAAGACTCTTCGTGAAAAATCTCGTTACTTTATACGGGAACAACATCTCCCCTCCACACAAGAAGCCTATAAAATAAGTGAAATGAAAATAAAACAATGCAAAACTACAATATTAATCACTCTTAAAATGAAGCAAATATACTAAACTATTCCAAATATTAAAAAAAAGTTGGTTGGACTTACTATACAAATCGAACAAAAGTGAATTAAATAATGATCCTAATTTTATTTTAGTCTTAAGGTTTAGAATTTATGGTTTATGAACATTACTTAGAGGATATAAAGACACTTCAATTGGGACTTTTAAAGAAAAATTCGCTTACCTGCAATTCAAGAGGTACTTCATTGGTTTGAAGTAGAAATTGTATTTCAGCCACTCTTGTAAAATATTCTGGAAGTTTTTGTTCTTGGACTTGTAACTCTTCCTAAAACACGTTATTTTAAAGATAAAAATCATTTTATTTTCTTATTTTCTGTTGTTAATATACAGACACTGAGAAAGGCATCTGAATTTCCCCCCATCACTTTCTTTTTCACAGCATTCTGGGAGTTACAAATCCAAGCGCCTCCAGTGGTCAGGCAAATGTTATAACTGAGTGAAGCATTCTAGCCGTAAGACAATCTGATACATTAAGTCTTTGCAAACCCCCTTTATGACAAAGACATTTGTTAACCATAAACTAGCTCAGAGTTTATGTAATGCAAAGAATGTAACTTTAGGTGATTTCCCTTGCTTCCTGAGCAACAACCTTTGGAATTCCCTGAATAACTGAGGTACATTTTATCATTTTAAAAATTCTGGGCTACACTTAAAGGTTTGTGCAAATGAATGCCCTGAGGCCAGAGACCACCTGGTAATCTGATGTCAACTGATCAGAGTTAGAGGGGGGCATGGTTCAATCAATCATGTTAAAATTAGCCAAAGGTTGAGTTTCTATTCTACTCCCTCTTCTCTTTGAAAACTTCATTGTAACTAGCCTACATTGAGCCATTTGTTTTTTTAAAGACACAGAATGGTCTCCCTATATGCATACAGAATAACTGCTGAAATAAACCCTATGTTTTAATTATTTTTTAACAAGACAATAGAGAGAGGTGAGGCCTATGCCAAAGGAGAATGCATGCTCTGCCTAAAGGCACTACATTTTATAGATGTTTAAGTAAACTGTGTCATGGAGTCCCTGTGTGGCACAAATGGGTGAATAGAGTTTGGCTGCTAATCAAAGGTTGGAAGTTCAAGTTCATCCAAGGCCTCTGGTAATCTACTTCTGAAAAATCAGCCACTGAAAACCTTACAGAGCACAGTTCTACTCTGAAAACACAGGTCACCAGAGTTGGAATTGACTTGATGACAACTGGTTAAACTGTGCCACAACGCACACATAAACACACAAACACTTTGGCAGAAATTGGCCCGTAGGCTGAAAGTTTATAATCCTTAACTTCAGGTTTTTAGACAACCTGTTGTTATTAGTTGCTGTTGAGTCAGTTCCAACTTATGGCGACCCATGTGTGCAGAGAAGAACTGCTCCATAGGATTTTCCAGGCTGTGACCTTGTGGAAGCAAATTGCCAAGCCTTACTTCCAAGGTGCCTCTTGATGAGTTTGAACTGCCCACCTTTCGGTTACTAGTATAACACTTAACCATGTTCACCACCCAGGGACTCCTAAACAACCAGTACTTAAAACAAATTTAAGCAGCTATTAGTCTTGATTCATTTATACTTAAAAATTCATAGTTTTACTTCATAACTATTATTATAAATCGCCACAGATTTTGAAAACGTTTTCCAAATGCATAAAAATGGATATGTGAATGAAAAGTGAATAAAGTGCAAGAATTAGACAAAAAAAAAAAAAAAAAGATATGTGAAGCATCAGTAGTGATTTAGGAAATAATATTGGAGTTATTATTCCCTGTCCTTGAGCATAGAGTATGTGACCCAGTGGGAGCTGGGCTCACAAGGGCTCACAAGGATTCACAAGGACACATCAACTGGGCCCTGAGGTATAAAGACAATAGCTAAGACAATCTTGGAAAATATCTTTTAGGGAACCTTTCACATAAAGCCAATCAAACAGAATACAAAAGACTTTCCACTCTTATCTTTTCTATCAGCATTTACTGAATAGAAATTTGTTGGACCAGTTAAGACCCTCCTGACTCTTGTTACTGAAATCTGTACCAATGATTGTTAAGAAAGACAATTCAAAATGTAGGATTACAGTTTCTAGCTAATCTGAAAAGGCTAAGCTTTCAATGGTTTTGCGCATTTGTAATGTTAATATATACTCATGACTACGTAATGGTCTTTGGACTCTGGGCAGACATGGCTGTGGCAGCATGCTTGTCCATTTTCTCATTCTTGCCTATTCTGTAATATTCTTTGGACTCTGGGCAGACAAGGCTATGGCAGCATGGTTGTCCATTTCCCACTTATGCCCTTTTGAATATATGCCAAATAAAAATTTCTTTTGCTTTACTAAACTTTATGATGTTTTTACCCTACAATAGTAGTGTATACTGTAAAGCCATCATGCACACACATGTACATTTTTATATTACATTGAATCACATAAACTGCCAAAACAAAACAGCGACTTACATGGTCCAAACTAATAATATGTAAACAAACAAGCAATCAGAATCCTTCCTAGAGTTAAAGGAGATAACTTCGCTTCTTTCCAAATGCGAAAACCTGTGATTGCTATTTAAAAAAACTAGATTTTCAAGCTCTGTGAAGATGCTGATATTCTGCTTTGTGCTTTTTCTAATCTTTCTGAAGCACTGCTAATTCAAATTATGAATGAAGTTTTCCATAATTTTGGTCTAGATCAAGAGAGAGCAAACTAAAGCCTGTGGGCCAGCAGTCTGTTTTTATAAAGTTTTATTGAAACCCAGTTTGTTTCATGTATTTATGCATTGTCTATGAAAGCTTTCATGCTACAACCGTAGGAGTGAATGGTTGCAACAAAGAGCAAAGAGCCCACAAGCCTAAAATATTTACTACCTGACTCTTTAAGAAAAAGTTTGCAGACCTCTGGCATCTAGACTGACCTCTCCTGGGAAGAATTTTTCATTTTGATGGGGCTTTTGCTAGAAGTTCTTAACCTTTTTTGTGCCATGAACCTGTTTAGAAGTCTGGTGAAACCCATGGATCACCTTCTCAGAATAATATTTTAAAAATGAAAATAAATTATGTAGAATTATAAAAGAAAAATATTAAAATGAGTTACATTTATCAAGACGTAAAAAAGAACAATTTGTGATTCAGTAACATCTGTATTTCTCTATTAATACCTTAAATAATAAGACCTAGCAATAAATCTACTAAATATCATAATTTCATAGCAGTGATAAGGGTAACAGCTGCAACAACTGGATTATGATCCAAAAATATCTGTGATTTCTCTTGGTAACAAAGTCACATATAATGCTCATCATACTGTTTGTTACCTATGTTCACAATCAAAAGAAATGCTACATTTTAGTTAGACATTTGTGAAAATAAAGATTTTATCCATGAATCCCTTGGGTGTCTGTGAATTCCAGATTAAGAATCCCTATAGGTATCTTCCTGGATATCACAAAAGGAATGATAAAGGGTTCAAGCCTCGCTCAAGGAATAATGAAAGGAACAAAAGATTATCGTGTGATTTTTCTATTCTCTCCAAGAAAGCAAACTCAACATTAAAATGTTAGCTTTGTATGAAAAAGCATATTATTTTATCTGTTAAATTACCTTCAGCCTTTCTCTTTCTTCTTCTGTCAGGGGATGTAATTTCACTCTTTGAAGGACCTTTTCAATCCATTCATCAATGACATTCTTTAAGGTAAAAAGTTTGTCCCACAAAGCCAGAGCTCGACCAAGATTTTCATAGTGGTCTTCTGTCTTCTCATTTATCTACCATAATTAAAAAATAGAAATACCACATTTAGGATGAGAAGTATATAAAACATTGTTTCAGTTAAACACTATTTTAAAATAAAATGTTAGTTTATCATTATTAGGTAAATAATGTCCTTTATACATCAACAAAAGAATGTGCCTTAGCCTACCACGCACTCCTTTCTCCTACAAAAATTTTTTTTTACCTGATTTGCTAAAGCTTATATATAATTGACAGCTATAGTGTTCCTAATTTCTAAAACACAATTTAAAAAACTGTTTTTTAAAGCTGAGGTGAAGGTATAATGTAGACAAATACTTAATTTATAATTCATAAAATATACCACACACTGCTCAATCAAAAATGCGTTAAATGAATATACCGTTAAATGTCAATATCCTTCACGAGTGTGTAATATATTAGTCTATTGATTTTTAAATGAAATAAGTGTATATTTCTATACCTAGATGATTATAGATCCATTTGCTAGTAGCGCCTAACTATGGAGTTACTTATTAAGTTATAAATTTTATATTATTTGAATTTTTTTTTCAGAAAGTATTTTTGAATTTTGAAATCAGACAAAGGTACACACACAAAAAAAAAGTTTGTTATAAAAATAGAATTTCTGTTCAATTAAATTATCACATACATCAAGCCATCGATCCACAATAACATTAGCCTCTTTCTCAAAAGGGGGCTCTTCAAAGGTTCTCATTTTATTTAGGTGGAATTGTAGATTTTTGCAGATCTGGTTTATCTTGTCTACATCTTCTAAATGTTCACTAAATTCTTCTTTGACAATTTCAATCTGTAAAAAGCATAGGAAACATATTTTTGATACATTGAAAGACAAGCTGATAAGAATTACAGTTTTATTATTATTCAGTGTAAAAGCAACATCATAACAAAGAATAATTCCTTCTTACATTATATTTAAAGCAGGATTTTATTAGCCTACTTTCTCCATGAAAAGTTTTTAGAATTGTAACCATCTGGTATACTGTAAATCCTAAACCCAAATATCTTCCCACTCTGTGTGATGAAATATTTATAATGGCCTCAAGTTGTGTTTCTAGTCCAAGTGAAATAACATTCACCCAAAAAAGCCACCATTTAATGGTATTAAAAAAAATCAGAGTTCCTAGATTCCTCTAACAGGAATCATCTTTGTAATGTCTAAGAACTTGAGTTCTTATCTGAATAAAATAGTCAAAACTCTATAATCTTTGATATGACTTATATTTTAATCTTACATGATTCTAAATCCAGTATCAGTTCTAACATGGCAAGTAAAACTTGGCTTTATCAAAAGATCAATGATCTTAAACTACAAAATAAAACTTGCATGTTACCTAATGTAATTTTAATGTTTCATTCAGTTTGTAATTTCATACGAGTATTTAAAATGACTACATAAAATGTGAAAATAGAGATAACTCACGATTAAAAACCTAAAAAACATATACCCTATAGGTAGACTTCCATTTCCAGAAATATGGAGTAGACATACTTTTCTCTATATCTTTCCACTAAATGCAACTACAAACACTGGACATTATATATAAAACAATCATAAGAATACTCTGAAAGATGGAAAGAGGGAGATGGTTAGGGTCATCAGCCCCTTAAAAATGACAGAGGTGAATTCCCTGGGTTTTCTTATTGCCTTAAATATCTCAGAATAGGTGCTAGAATAGCAATCTGGAAACACCAGCAGATGCTGACTAAAAAAAGATGCAACAAATGTCTGCTCTTTATAGCCAAAGAACCAAAAAGAGGCAGCCTAGCAAAACAAACCATTTAGCAAGTAAGTGTTCATTAGAGTAAAATACCACAGAAAAAATTGTGGACCAACTCCCATCTATACTACAAAGGCTGAGTGGTGAACCTTGACTTCTACCACCACCTAGCTGTAACAGACAACCCCCCACACTCCACCTTACAAGGGTGGTGTCAGAAAAGACCAAATAGAGCTGAGACTTTCATCCCTGCCAGGCAGTAATGAATTACTCCCCCTGTGGTATCAGTAGAAGCAAAATAGGGAGCAGTAAATACGCAGCTAGGGAGGAATCTGTAGATGCCAAGTAAGGAATCAACACTCACTGCTTCTCAGTAACAAGGAGTCCCCACCTTGGGTGTCAACAGAGGCCAAATAGGGATGCTGAACTTCTACCCCCAACTTGGCAGTAACGAAGCAGCACCCAGTCTTCCCCTGACGGAGTGGTGTCACAGAAAGCCAGTCAAAACAGAAGGTTTAAATAAGATCCATATTTCATAACTCAACACCAAGATGTCCAATTTTCAATAGAAAAACCACTCATCATACCAAAAAACCACACAGATCTAAAGTGGAATGAAAAAACAATCAAAAGATGCCACCTCCAAGAGGACACACAGGCTAAAATTATCTGAAAAAGATTTTCAAGCAGCCATCAGAAAAATGTTTCAATGAGCAATTATAAACACTCTTGAAACTAACAACAAAAAAACCTCAGCAAAGAAATAAAAGATATAAAGAACAACCAAATAAAAATATTAGAACTGAAAAATATAATAATCAAATAAAATACTCAGTGGATGGGCTCAACAGTAGAATGGAGGGGAAACAGAAAAGAATCTGTGAACTTCAACATAAAACATGACAAATACCCAATCTGAAAAAGAGAGACAACTGGCTTAAAAAAAAAAGAAAAGAAAAGAATAGAAATTCAGAACCCGGTGGCACTATAAAAAGATCTAACATTAACATCACTGAAGTCTTAGGAGGACAGGAAGAAGAAAGTGGGGCAGAGAAAATACTCAAAGAAATAATGGTTGAAAAGTACTGAAGTTTAGCAAAAGACATAAATCTTCAGATTCAAGAAGCTCAGCAAACTACAAAAAGGATAAACTCAAAAGAAATCCACACGAAGACACATCATAGTCAAACTTCTGAAAACTAAAGACAAAAATTCTTAAAAGCCACCAGAAAGAATGACACCATGCCTATAGGGGACAAACAGTTTCAATAACAGTGGATTTCTCACCAGAAATTATGGAGGTCAGAAGGAAGTAGCACAACATTTTTGAAGTGTTGAAAAGAACAAGTTGTCAACCCAAAATCTTATATCCAATAAAATATACTTCAAGAATGAAGGAGAAATCAAGATATTCTCAGATGAAGGAAAACAAAGTTAATTTGTTACCAGCAGACCTAACATAAGGAACGGCTACAGGAAGTTCTCTAAACAGACAGGAAATGATAAAGAGACAAAATCTTGGGTCATCAGGAAGGAAGAAAGAACACGGTAAGCAAAATTACACATAAACACCATAGGCTTTACCCTCCTCTTGACTCTTCTAAATTATATTTGAAGAAAAATTTTAACATTGTCTGATATAGTTCTAAATGTATGCAGAGGAAAATTTGAAGGCAATTACATTATAAATGAAAGAAGTTGCTGTTGTTTTTAGGTGCCATCAAGTAGGTTCCGACTCACAGTGACTCTGTGTATACGGAACAAAACAGTACCTGGTCCCATGTCATCCTTACAATCGTTTGTTATGTTTGAGCCCACTGTTGAAGCCACTGTGTCAATCCATCTCACTGAAGGTCTTCCTCTTTTTTGCTTAACCTCTACTACACTATGCATGATGTCCTTCTCCAGGGTCTGGTCCCTCCTGATAACATCTCCAAGGTATGTGAGGAAGTCTTGCCATCCTCGCTTCAAAGAAGCATCAGCAATGATATCCCTCATTCCACATCTTCTTTTAAATCCAACCTGAATTTCTGGAAGTTCCCTGTCAATGTACTGCTGCAACCATTTTTGAAATATCTTCAGCAAAATTTTACTTGCATGTGATATTAATGGTATTGTTCAATAATTTCCACTTTCCATTGGATCACCTTTCTTTGGAATGGGCACAAATATGGATCTCTTCTAGTCAGTTGGCCAGGAAGCTATTTTCCAATTTTCTTGGCATAAACAAGTGAGCACTTCCAGTATTGTATTCATTGTTGAAACATCTCAATTGGTATTCTGTCAATTCCAGGAGCCTTGTTTTTCACCAATGCCTTCAGTGCAGCTTGGACTTCTTCCTTCAGTACCATTGGTTCTTGATCATATGCTACCTCTTGAAATGGCTGGACATCAACGAATTCTTTTTGGTACAGTGACTCTTTGTACTCCTATCTTCTTTTGATGCTTCCTGCATTGTTTAATATTTTTCTCAGAGAATCCCTTGATATTGTAACTTGAGGGTTGAATTTTTTCTTCAGTTCTTTCAGCTTGAGAAATCCTGAGGCTGTTCTTCCCTTTTGGTTTTCTAACTCCAGGTCTTTGCACATTTCATTATAATACTTTGTCTTCTCAAGCTGCCCTTAGAAATTTCCTGTTCAGCTCTTTTACTTCATCATTTCTTCCATTTGCTTTAGCTGCTCTATGTTCAAGAGCAAGTTTCAGAGTGTTTTCTGACATCAATTTTGGTCTTTTCTTTCTTTCGTGTCTTTTAATGACCTTTTGCTTTCTTCATGTATAATATCCTTGATGTCATCACACAACTCGTCTAGTCTTTGGTCATTAGTGTTCAATGCATCAAATCTCTCCTTGAGATGGTCTCCAAATTCAGATGGAATATACTCAAGGTTGTACTTTGGCTCTAGTGGAATTGTTTTAATTTTCTTCAGCTTCAACTTGAACTTGCATATGAGTGACTGATGGCCCCTGGCCTTGTTCTGACTAATGATATTGAGCTTCTTCATCGCTCTTTCCACAAATATAGTCGATTTGATTCCTGTGTATTCCATTTGTAGAGGTCCACATGTATAGTTGCCGTTTATGTTGTTAAAAAAAGGTATTTCCAATGAATAAGTTATTGGTCTTATAAAATTCTATCATGTGATCTCCTGTGACATTTCTATCACCAAGGCCGTATTTTCCAACTACTAATCCTTCTTTTTTTTCAACTTTTGAATTCCAGTAATTATCAATGAATCTTGATCGCATGTGTGCTCAATTTCAGACTGCAGAAGTTAGTAAAAATCTTCCATTTCTTCATGCTTGGCATTAGTGGTTGGTTCATAACATTATAACATTGTCTGATGTAGTTTTAAATGTATGCAGAGGAAAATTTTAAGACAACTACATTATAAATGAAAGAGGTTAAAGGGATGCAAAAAGAGGTAAGTTTTCTATTTTTCACTCAAACTGAGAAACTGATGACACCAGTAGACTGAGATAAGTTATGTCTGTGTATTTTAATACCTAGAGCAACTAAAGAAAAAGCTAAACCAAGAGATATACATAAAAAAACTCTATATATAAATCAGAATAGGATCCTAAAAATTATTCAAGTAACCCAGAGGAAAGCAGAAAAACTGAGAAAAAGAGAACCAACAGGAAAAAAGGGCAGACTTAAGATCTAAAATATCAATAATTACATTAAACATAAATAGTTTTAATATACCAGTTAAAGACTGAGACTGCCAGAGTAGATTTAAAAACATGACTCAATTATAGTATCTATGAGAAACTCACTGTAAATATAATGATTTAGACAGGTTGAAAGTAAAATGATGAAAAAAATGTACCTCATGCAACATTAGTCAAAAGAAAGCAGGAGTGGCCATATTAATATCAGATAAAGTAGACTTCAAAGCAAAGAAAATTACCAGAGAGAGCACAAAAGACAGCCATGATACGAAAAATTGATGAACGGAACTTCCACAAAATTAAAAACTTTTGCTCTGCAAAGGAATCCATTAAAAGGATGAAAAGACAAGCTACAATTTTGGAGAAAATATTTCCAATCATATATTCAACAAAGAAC